GGGGGACAAAGCCAAAGCACCGGTAAAGCAGGGAGCAAGGAAAGGAGCAAAGAGATCCCAGATGGGGCAGACACACGGTCAGCGGAGATGAGACGACGCCAGACGGGCCGGGAGGGGGGAAAGGAGTGCAGGCTACGCACGGAAGGCATTGTGGAAGATATTCTGCAGGTTGATCCGGCGGTCGGTTTCCGGGAAGATGGTCGACAGGTAGGACACCGGCAGCAGGGGGTCATTCTCCTGGTAGGCATGCGCACAGGCGGAGAGCCCCTCCTGAGGGCCAGCTACTGGGGGATTGGCCGCCCTCGATAGCATCCTCGGCAGCAAGGCCTGGGTCAGAGCACGCACAATGAGCGCGGCCCGTGGGGCCGAGGCTCCCGGGGCAGCACTCAAGGCCGTGGGTGGCGGATCGCGGGGCGATGTCCGGATGTCCCGACCGAGAATGCGCAAACCACCATACCGAGTGGCCGCCATGGATGTGTAGTTGAGGTGGAAATCCCGCGGCGAGAGACTCTCCCCGGGCACGGCAACCGGCAGGTGGAGGTCGTCCACCAGCAGGGCGCCATAGGGCAGGAGCTTTTCATACTCACGCGCGGCATGCCACTCGATGGTCTGGTTGGTAATCTGCCAGTAGTCATCGGGGGCAGGCTGCGGGCCCAGGCCACTGTCATTCAGCAGGTCCTTCCACAGGGCATACACATCAAACAGGGCCGAATTGACCGATGTGTGATTGGCGTGCTCCACAAAGAAGGGGTAGTGTGTCTCAGGGACCATGCCAATCTCCGGCTGAACCTCCTGCTCAATGGTACCGAGGACGCCTTTGAGAGTGTGCGCCGCGCATGCGCGTGTGTGTGGGTGTGGGTGTGGGTGGGTGTGCGCCGTGCGCCGTGCGCCGTGCGAGTATGGTCGTGTGAGTGTGGCCGCCGGGCATGCGGAAACATTTGAGCGTGGCGCGATGAGCCGCTGGTTGGGTGTGGCAAAGAGGATGTGCGTGCCAAACGCACCGAAACGCTCTCCCAGGAAGGTCAAGAACCCGAGCTCGTTGCCAATCGCATCGTCGGAATTGAAGGACACGTGGAAGAAGGGCGGACTATTGAACATGGACCGCCAGCTGTGCCATCAAGAAGGGAAGATCGTGTGAGTGGGCGGCTGGACGAGCCAGCAAGGCGCTGGCAACAGGCAGTGGGATGGGCGCAGGAGGGAGGGCAGGCGCACGAGGGGCGTTCCAATTCCGTCAGAACAAAGGGATTGGACGCGTCGAAGGGCTGGTACCGCTCGACGTAGCCCGTCTGGTTGGCTTCATCCAGAGCACGGTCAATCAGGATGGTCAAACCGCCAATCAAGCTCAGCAGCAAGATCGGGATGACCAACTGCACGACGACCGTCGACTTGCGCGACAAGAAGAGCGAGGCATTTTTCAAAAACTACACGAGAAGGAGGTCAGGGGGGCAGGGGGGGGGGGGGCAGGCAGGAGGGGCAGGCAGGAGGGGCAGGCAGGAGGAGCAGGCAGGAGGAGCAGGCAGGAGGGGCAGGCAGGTGTAAGTTGAAATCCAGACAATCACAGTAAGCTGAACGGACCAGTGCTCGGAATTGCTGGAAGAAGGAGACCGTAGGTGCACCGGCCTCGGAGCGCGCCATGGCGTCGAGAGGAGCGAAGGAGCAAGAGGGAGGAAAAGAAGAGAAGGGGTGGGGGGGAGGGGATCCCGCGGGCGGCGGTCGTGAGCGTCCGTGCCGGCTGGATCAGCGGATGAGGCGGAGCAAAACAGGGAGGATGGAGCGAGGAGGGTAGGGCAGGGTGCCAGCAGCTCCGGGGTGCTGGCTCTCGGGGGTGCTCGCAGCTCTTAGATGCGGCGGCGAGGGGGGGGGGGGGGGGGTGCTCGCTCGCCCAGAAGGCGGGCGGCCATTGACCGATTTGTCGATCGAAAGACCGCGGCCTCTCTCTCTCTCTCTCTCCCTCTCCGTGTCTCTCCATTCCAACAGTCTTTCCGCCCCCGCGCTGGGTGACGCCCGCGGGTACCAAGCTCAAAGCCATGTCCCTTCCGGGTTCCATATGCCCTCCCCCCGTCCCGGGGGCCCCTTGAGAAAGGCCCCAGAGGAGGGCACATACGGCTCCAGGCACACCGGCCCCGGGCTCTTGGCCGGAACTACACGCACTTCGAGGGTGTTTTTTTGTTTTCCTCTGCCCGTGTCCACCGCCCGACCACCCCCCGATCGGAGCCATACGTGAATTGGCGGATCACGCGCCAGATAGGTAATATGGTAATGCGTTGGTACACGCTACGTCCCAATGGACTCGCGGCGTCATTCGCGTCTTGCGCACTGCCAGCCGATGCCCGCGGCAGGCTCCGAGGCCAGGCGCATTTGCCACCGATCAGGACGCCTTTTTGTAGCTCTGGGAGAGAGGGGCCCCCTCTGGCTAAGAGCCCGCGCGCAGACTGCAAGGCAGCCTAGATCCCCGTCCACTGCCCTCCCCCCCCCCCTCCCCCACTCCTCCCCCTACTCACGTTTTTCCCTTTGGGGCTCTCTCTCTCTCTTTGGCGGGCCTTTGTTCCTTCTCCGTCCCCTCCCGGCACCCCTCCGTCAACCGCGCGAGGGGAGGGCGGAGCCTCATTCTTCGGTGACCCGTCGCTTCGCCTACCTGCTGCTTCCCCTCCCCCTTTGCCACGATGCTCATTTTCTTCATCGTCGACACCAACGTGGCGATGGGCGCCCGGCTGAGCGGCGACCTTTCCTTCCTGGACCACGCCAAATCCGGAGTTGAATACTTCATCAAGAAGGTGCGCTGACCCCCGCCCGCCCGCCCGCCCGCCCGCCCGGCGGTCTGCCCGTCCGCCTCCCTGTCGAGGGGAATTCGCCCCAGCTCACCCGATGCCCGCTTTCTCAGCGAACCACCCAGCAGCGCAAGGAGGCGGACCGCTTCATTTTGATGACCTTCGAACCCGGAGCCGAGTGTCTGAAGACCGGCTATCGGAACAACTTGTCCCAGCTTCAGGCGGCCTTGCGTGGATTGCGGGCCACGCATACCGGCCCCTCGGACCCGACGCATGCGCTGGACTTCGCCTTCAACATGATTGCCTCCTTCCGCGCGCAGATCAACACCGACACCGTTGGCCATGGCCGGAATCTGACCTTCACCGAGCCGGCAGCGGTTGTGGTCTTCTCGGCCGGCGGCGGCCCGGGCCCAGTCACCGGCGCTCGGTCGGAGCTGGGCGACCGACCGCCGCTGGTCGCCAGCCCGGTGGACTTTTCCTGCCCCTCAACCGGTGTCGGCTACTCGCAGGGTTCCATTCACAGTCAACTGTTCGACACTTGCCTCCGGTGGGATCACCGGGTGTACCACATTTGCCTGGCCGCGGAAGGCACCGGGCCCGGCACCGCCGGCATGGCTGCCGGGTCCACCCAACGGCTGGCACGTGCACTTCGGCTGGCCCGGCAAGCGCCGATCCCGGCTGCCGCGGGCTCCGCACGTCCCAGCCCCATGGCTCCCCCGGTGAATGGGGGCAACCTGTCGCGCTTGGTTCGGTCCTCCGGCGGCCGGGCCTTCCTGGCCCCGACCCTGCGCCGCGTGCAACAGGCCGTGGACGAGCTCCTCGGCCTGGCCCCCTCTACCCAGGCCCTGTCGGCCAAGACCCTGGCCGGCCTGGTGGCCGAGCTTCCGGGGCTCGTCTCTCCCACGGGGCCTACGGCTGCCTCGACCCAGGCGCTGGCCGCCGTGCCGATTGTCGAGTCGGCCGGCGCGGCGGAGCCCTTCTTCACTCGGCCCAGCTTTCGCGTCCTCCTCGAGGACCCCGTCCGTGCGTTGGGCCGCCGCCCCTGGACACGCGTGCCTCTCTTGCTCCTGCCTGCCCTCTCCTTGTGTTTTAGTATGGTGGTGATCGCGCGCGTATGCATGCATGTGCACTTCCTCACCCGGCTCCAATATGCTGTCCCTTGCGATGTCTCCCGCGCCCAGGCCATCCCAACCTCCGGCACTCGGCCTATGTCTATCTGAAGGCGGATCCCAGTCGAAATAGCGCAGCCTGGCCGATCCCCGAGTCCTTCCTCCCGGAAGCCTCGCACAACTCCTTTGTACGCTCGCCCTCCCTTGGTCCATGGGCCACCTGCTTGCCTTTCTCTCTCTCTCTCGCTCTCTCGCTCTCTCTCTTGCTCACTCCGATCCATCTGACCCGGGATGCTTGGCCGGTTGCCTTTCCTTCCTCCTCCCCCCCTCCCCCCTCCCCTGTACCCCGCTCTCTACCCTCCGGGCTTAGCCTCCGCGCACTGCGCACCCTCTGCTATCGACCAACTCCCAATTCCGCAGCATCCCCATCATCCCAGGTGTGACGCCCGACGAGTATGAGATATCCACCTGTGCCTTGACCTTCCCGCTGGTGCACTATGCCACCTCCCACAAGTGCTGGTATGTCTTCCTCCGCGGATCGACTCGGCGCTGCGATCCTGAGGGTAACTTTTTGGATCCCGAGGGCGGGGCCTCCCCCGCGTCAGGCCCGGGCGGTGGTTCTGGCGCCGATCCCGCACTCAGCCGGCCCTTTGGCTACCTGCGCTTTGATGCTGGCCGCTTGCGGCTCTGCATCATGCCCTACAACTTTCCGATGCTCCAGCATATCGGTCCGACCCGTCCCCTTGCTGCTGATGCCTCCTTCCTCCCTGCTGTCGGTCTTCCCACATGTCCTGACTCGGATCCTCTCCGTTGCCTCTCTGCCCGCCTCTCTCCCCCTTCCCCTCGTTGATGCAGTGTGCTCCCTCTCAAATGCCATCAACTCCGACACGACGGCCACATTTGTCAAGGACTACTTGGCCTCTGTCCCGATGTCCCTCCAGCCGGTGCGCCATTGGCATCTCCTGCTTCGGACCCCCTGATCCGACTCTTTTCGTCACCCCTTCAAGCGCTCGCGCAACCTGATCCCTGCGCACCAACTCACCGGCCTCCCTGCCGCCTCCTCGCCCTGCCCTGCTTCCCTCGATTGCCGCTCCCCTCCCGGTCTCACCATCTCCCCCTTCCATCCCATCTCCTGCAGTCCATCCACACCATCCTCAAGGACGCGGGCTTCGGACACCTGCTGTCGGCACGCGTGGACACCATCCCCGGAGCCAGCCTCCATCACCGGCTGCAACGGCTGCGCAAGCATGCCTCCGAGCACCTGACCAACCTGGACTCGGTCACCCCGCCAGCCATCTTGGATCCCTTTTCCTCGCTGCTGGTGGCCACGTTCGCCTTTTCCTCGTCCGTGATCAATCTGACCGAGGCCCGGCGCTTGTGGGCCCAGCAGCGGGGCTTGGCCGGCCCGGCGGCCGGCCCGGCGGGCAACCTCTCGCCCACCGCCACGGCCGGCCCGGCTGGCGGCCCGCCCCTCAGTCGCAAGCACCTCCTTCAGTCACTGTCGCTCATGCGCGGGACCCTCTTCGCGCCGGACCTGTTGGATATCTTGTCCGGTACGAGCTAGCATACGCCATTTGCAAGTGGGGGGGGAGGGGGGGGGGGGGGGGGGGGAGGCAGCCTCGCTCGATATATCCCACTTTCGCCTTCCCTTTCCCGGCCCCGCTGCCCGTGTTGCTGACTCGGCTCTCCGGCTGATCTCGGCCCGAACAGGCGCCCGAAATAGCGCACCCATCGGGGAAATGGGCAATTACCAGGCCATCCTCGCCAGCACCCGGTCGCTTCGGCCGGTCGAGGAGGCACTGGCCCCTGGCGGCTCCGGACAAACCGGCCGGCGCAATTACTTCGGCAATCCCTATCGCAATCGCGATGTGGCGGTCGATGATGAGGCCGACGAGGGGGGCGCCCTTCGTCGGGGCCTGGGGCCCGACTCGCGTGGCATGTCGGAGTCCCGGCATTCGCGCCGGCGTTCCAGCGTATCTTCCGGAGGCGGCGGCACTGCCGCTGCCCCGCCGGGAACCACTGCTGCTGCGCCCGCCTCGGCTGCTGCTCCGGCTGCCACAGCTGCAACTACCACTGGCATGGCAGATACACAGCTACCGGACGCCGTGGCTCCCGCCACTCCGCCGCCCAGCTCCCCGGACACCGGGGACTGGTCGGATGCGAGGCCCGACACGCCGGGTGCCGGCAAGCGTCCGCATGCGGACGATCCGGACGATGGGGCCGGACCTGCCCGGCGACGCCGGCGCATTGGCACTTCGGTGGACCCCCTTGCTGCCATTGATTTGTCCATCGATCGCGGCACCCCCACCACGCCAGGATCTCCCGAGGGCGTGGCTCCGTCGATGTCGCCAACTTCGGTGGGCCCCTCGGCTGCCGGTTCTCCCCGTCCCTCGGGCCAGGAGTCCTTCAGCCCTCGGCGGCCGGGGGTCCCGGGCCCTGGAACGCTGGTCCCGCCGGCGGCCGGCGACAGTCCGTTCAATTGGCTTTTCCGCCCGGCGGCTGCTGGGCTCGAGCACCTGCTGGCCGCCACGCCAGGCATCCAGATGACCGACCCCGGCGACATGGCCGTTTCGCGGGACTTCTGCCAGGAGCAAGCCCCACTGTTGCAACAGCAGCTCCAGCAGCACCTGGCCTTGGCTTGCTTGCCGCTCTTGTGGACCCTCCTTGACGGCGCGGACCCCGGCAATGGCCCCCCCGGTGCCCTGGAGTCCCTGGGACATGCGGTGGAGGCCCTCCTCCCGGAGGCCGGGGAGGGGGCCGCCGGGGCCCTGATCCAACGCCTTTGCATTCTGTCCCGACAGGAGGGCGACGAATTTGCCGCCCCGGTGGCGGGCTTCCTTCCGCCAGCTCGGGCACCGGACCGCTCGCTGGAACTGCTCCTGACCCTGCAACTGGATGACACCCTTGGTCGACTGTTGCTTCTCCTTCGGGCTCCCGGGTCTCAGCTGGGGGATTTGCTACGAGGCATTTGGCTGACATGCCACATGCTTGGGGAGACCCCTGGCGGGTCTTTCCGTCGCGGCACCCCGGCCGCCGGCGGTCTGGCACATGCGCTGCTTTACTTTTCCGCGCGACACCTCTCGGCCAATGATCGCGACTGTCTTGCAGCTGCGATGCTGGATGTGGCGCGACTGCTCCAGCCTCCGGCACCCGGATCGCCCTCTCTCGTTAGCACCAGTGGCAGCAGTGATGGCAACAGCAATGCGGCCACCGGGTGAAGGCGCCTCCGTTGAAGGGGGAGGAAAAGGGCAAAAAAAAAAGACCCATGTTGAACCCTTGGGGCATTTGGGCGGGCCCCCCTCAGTGCCGTGCCCAAGTGTGATGCAAATACATCCATAGAAGCAACCGGCTAGCTGGCCAGTGAGAAGGTGATGGAGGAAGCAAGAAACATGAAGGGGAGTGTATATTCCCGGAGGGAGTGGAGAAAGGAAAGGGGAGCGGGAGGGAGGGATAGATGGAGATAGAGGGGGGGGGGGGGGAGAGAAAGGAGGAGGGACAAAAAGGGGGCGCAAAGCCGGAAGGGAGGACGGAAGGAGCGGCATACGGGCGGCATGATTTACGGCGCGCACGCACGCACTCGCTCAGTAGACACAAGGACAACGGAAAAATGGGTATGCTCTACCGCGGTGGCGGGGCTTCCACCAAAGCGGGGAAAGGCACACAGAAAGGCGACCAATGGTTGGAGGAAGGCACATGCAGCGCCGAGCCCATTGAATGGAATAGTGGCAGGGGAGCGGGCGGCTTGATGGACAGCTTCCGATAAGACTCGTCGATCATGCTCGAAGCAAGGGGCTCAGGACGCAGCTCATTCCGCCGGGTGCCTCGAACGATGGAGTTTTGAACGGCCTCGCGCTGGAGACAGAAATCGGGGGAGGAGGGGAGAGAGAGGGGGGGGGGAGGAGGGGAGGGAAAGGGGGGAGGGAGCGAGGATAGGGCCCAATGGGGAGGCATTTGCCAGCAAGTCAATGCACTGTGAAAGCCGGACGATGGGCGTGTAGAGGGGAAGAGCCACAGACACGGGGCCCGGCAGAGCGAGGGGGGAAGGACAAAAAAAAGGGCCCCAATGATCAGCAGAGAGGGCATACGCACACGAATGAACAGAGCAGTCAGGGCAATTCGCCGGATGGCATCGGTGACAATGATGCCAAGCATATCCAGCACAAAGGGCTGCGGATCGAAGTTGATCTTCAGCCAGGCGTCCAACTTCGTGGCCTTGCCCATGGTGAGTGACACATCTTCCAGCGTGAAGCGCTCAATCAGAGCACTGCATGATCGGCAGAACTTGGCCTCGGAGTCGCGCGGGGCTTGCAGGCATCCGACCGAGGAGCCAAACGCCGGGGCACCCGACTCGGGGGCAAAGCGCATGCGCCGGGGCTGGGATTCCTCCTCCAGCCCCAGACCCCCAAGGAGATCTTCCGAAATGGACCCTTGGGGAGGGTAGCGCGGCCGCCGCCGGTCGCTGGCCCCGGGGAAGAAGGCAACCCCAAGCTCGGCACCGGCCGGCCCGGCCGACGAAACCCCGCCGGAGTTCAATTCCAGGCCCAGCATGCTGGCGGTGGTAGTGGCCGCCATGGCGGCGGCGGTGGAACGTGGCACCCTACCGGGCGGGCTACCTGCGTCGGACCCCGAACCCGGGCTGGCTGCCGATGCCGATGCCGATGCCGATGCAGGGCCCTGGTGACCGAAGCTGAGATCGGCCCCGTGGGAGAAAAGGTTCGGCGGAAGCGGCGTGCACAGAAGATGGCACATGAGCAGGTGAGTCTGAAGATTGGACATGTCCGACTGGGCGAAGGTCAGGAAATGCCGCAGGCGTTGCGAAAGGCTGATGTTCATGAAGAGATCATTCGACGAGGCGTCGACCGCGCGAATGATGTCCGAAGGGGAGATATGAAGCGACTGGTTGTCCTGGATGACGGAAGAAATCTGGGAAGCCGAGGGAGGAAGACCCGAGCAGGGCGCGATCAGCCGAGGAGGAGGGCACAAACGAGGAAGCGAGGTTAGATCAGGGGGCGACGAAGGGGGCCAGGGCTGGGGGAATATCCGGGGGGGGGGGGGGGAGGCAAACTCAGACGAGGAAAAAGAAGACGGCGCGAGGCACCTACGCACCAGAGAACAGATGTGGTCCTGGACAATCTTCTCCACTTTGCTGGCCGCATCGGACGGAATGTCCATCTTGCTGTCGCCCCAGCCGCCATTGCTCCAGCCGCCGCTGCCCCAAGGCTCCAAGCCCGGGGCCAGTGGCAGAGTGGACAGCTGAATGCTGAAGGCAGCCAGGATGTTTCGGAGCTCATTCTGGAAGGGGGAAGCCTGTGCCGGGGCATGGGGCGGGACCGTGAGAGCCGGCGTCACAACCCCGAGCTCGCTGGGGCGCGTGATAAACACCCGGTGCGCCGAGGAGAGGCTCGAGTCGTAACTTGACACGGCGGTGGTCGGATCCGCCTGGACCATGTCGCTGATGGACTCCGGGCCGGATGCCTGGATGTGCGGACTTCCAGCGGTCAGGGCACTGTGCTGCACTCGAGGAGGTACGGCCGACGGACCCACCGACGGGGGGGCCATCGCCGGCGGGTGAACCATCACTCCGGCGGGGGGGCCGGACACGCCAGCTGGGCCTCCGGCCGAAGGATGCATCATCCCCGGGGGGAGGCCTCCAGGGGACGCAGCCATCGGCGACTGCCGGACCGCGCGAATGGCCGGCATTCGGCCAGCACCATCGTGTGCAATTGTTGAGGGAGATTGCGCCCGTGAGCCGCCCTGCATGGCCATCTGATCAGGTGGAGCCTGTGGGTGTGAGGAATGTGACACTGGTCCGGCCCCGGCTGGAGGGGATTGGATGGGGATTGACGAAGTTGGATGCGGCTGCTGCTTCTGCACCTGCTGCTGCTTGTGTTGCGGGTGCTGCTGGTGGTGGTGCTGCTGCTGGTGGTGGTGGTGCTGCTGCTGCTGGTGGTGCTGCTGTTGCTGCTGCTGTTGCTGCTGCTGTTGCTGCTGTTGTTGCTGCTGCTGTTGTTGCTGCTGCTGCTGCTGCTGCTGCTGCTGCTGCTGCTGCTGCTGCTGCTGTCCAAGCGCTGGCGAGAGAGGTCCCTCAGCTGGAGTCAAGCTCCCAGCAAGTGAGCCTCCAGGGAATGGACCTTGCGAAGGGACATTCCCTGGCCTGGTGGTGAACCCCTCGGAATGTGCCAGGCCCGGTTGCTGATGCAGGTGTGATGGCATCGCAGAGGAAGATCCCGGCACAGACGAGCCAGCAGCCATGTGGGGGGGGAACTTGTGTTGCTGTGGGTGCTGTGCGTGCTGCGAATGCTGTGGATGTTGCAGGTGCTGTGGATGCTGTTGCTGTGGATGTTGTTGCTGTGGATGCTGCTGCTGTGGATGCTGCTGCTGTGGATGCTGCTGCTGTGGGTGTTGCGGATGCGTGCGGTGCAGATGCTGCATGTGCTGTGCGTGCTGCGAGTGCTGTGGATGCTGTGAACGCTGTTGCGGGTGTTGTGCGTGCTGCGAGTGCTGCGAGTGCTGCGAGTGCTGCGGGTGCTGCGGGTGCTGCGGGTGCTGCGGGTGCTGCGGATGCTGCGGGTGCTGCGGGTGCTGCGGGTGCTGCGGGTGCTGCGGGTGCTGCGGGTGCTGCGGGTGCTGCAGGTGCTGCGGGTGCTGAAGCTGCTGCGGATGCTGAAGCTGCTGCGGATGCTGGAGCTGCTGCGGATGCTGGAGCTGCTGCGGATGCTGGAGCTGCTGCGGATGCTGCGGGTGCTGGAGCTGCTGCGACGACGGCGGCATCGGTTGAGGTTGCCGCTGATGGGGATGATGCTGGAAAGATTGCGGGTCGGATGGATTCGGGTGGGGCTGCCGCTGGGGATGTCCGGGCTGCGGCTGTGGGAAGTTCACATGCTGCGCAGCCTGGGCTGACATGGGCGACTGTCCTGGGAGGAAGGGCCGGCCATCGGCCGAAACCGGATACCCAGTGTTCGGGTCCACAGCGCCCGAAGTGGGCGGCTGATACGGCGAGGGAGCAGCATGGGCCGAAACCAAGGGACCTCCCCCTGCAGGCGACTGTTGCACATGGGGCTGCTGGGACACTGGACCCACAACCATGGAGGAAGAAGGCCCATGACCAGTGCCACCAACTCCCATGCTGCCTGGCAGATGCCCATGCGGGACGGACATCGAGCCAGGGCTGGGGGCCGTCAGCGAGGAACCCATGTCTCGTTGGTGGGGAGAGGGAAGCTGCGATGGGTGCTGTGCCACCGGAGGCATCGGCTGCGAGGGGACATGGTGCAGCTGACTTGCCGGGGCGGAGGCCGCCGAGCGTGGCAGATAGCCGACATGCTCATGCTCGGGGAAGCCACTGGTCGAGCCAGGACGCACGCTGCCGACCAATTGCCCGGCAGCGGGGGGACGATCGCCAGGGCGGAACCCACCAGGTGACTGGTGTGATGGCACAAGCCCAGTCGCGGCACCCGCTCCCGGGGGCACGCTCGGATGGCGGGGCCCGGCCACCGCGCCGGCAGTCGGAGGCACTGCCGAAGGACCGGCCTGTGGATGATACTGCTGCATGGGCGACGGTTGCTGCATGGGCGATGGCTGCTGCATGGGCGATGGCTGCTGCATGGGCGATGGCTGCTGCATGGGCGATGGCGGTTGCATGTGGTGCGGTGGATGATGTGGGTGTGAGGGCTGCGGCTGCGGCTGCGGCTGCGGCTGCGGCTGCGGCTGCGGCTGCGGCTGCGGCTGCGGCTGTTGATGTGAAGGGGTCTTCCGAGCAAACGACTGCGACGAGGAAGAGGAGGATGACGACGGAGGCCCCGCAGCCTGGGCCTGTTGCTGCGCCGACGAAACACCCGGAGCATGGGGATATGTCGGAGCAGCTGGCCCGCCGGCCGCGCCATACGGCAGCTGTCGAGGGGAGGGCTGAATAACATGGCCCGGGCTGGAAACAGCCGACTGCCCGCCAGGCCCATCACCCGGGGCCACTGGCCGAGGGAAGTCGGCCCCAGGGCGTGAAGACCCCATTCCGGGAGCCGAAGTGGCCCCCGGCGGCCCAGGGTGCGGCGACCGAAGAGGGCCATACTCAAGCCCCGGGTGCGCGGGAGATTGGCCCGGCGAGGGGGACGGCAGGACCGAGCCAGCCGAACCCACGCCAGATCCCGGATGCGGGGAGCTGCCCGGCCGAGCCGGTGACATGCCCCCCGGAGTACCGGCCACCGATAAGCCGCCATAGCCAGCACCCGAGGCCACCGGCTGGCCATATCCGGATCCGGGAGCAACAGGCCCCCCTCCCGGTGCATGAGAGCCCGCCAAGGCGTGCCCCGGCTGAGGGGGGGTCGGCAGGACCCCGGGCCCGGGGGCCGAGGCCGCCGGTGAAACCAAGTACGAGGCATACGACGAGGGATTCATGGCTGGCTGGGCACCACGCGGCAGGAGACCACCCCCGGCCGGGCCGGCGGTCGAATCGGCCCCCCCGTAGACCCCCTGCGAAGGGGAGGGAAGATGAGAGCCCGGCTGGGCCGGGGACCGACCTGGCAAAAAGCCCATTCCCGCGGCCCCAGCAGCCGGGGTTGCACCCGGCAGAGCCTGCGGGTCGACCGGTGGCATGGGGCTCGGGAAGTGCGGAGAGCTACCCGGAGCTGAACCGGCCAGAACCGCGCCGCCTCCGGCCCCGTACGGATATCCGCTTGGCGAGGGAGCCGGCTGCTGTTGCGGCTGCTGTTGCGGCTGCTGCGGCTGCTGCGGCTGCGGCTGCGGCTGCGGCTGGGCCGGCACCTGGCCCGGGTATGTGCCAGGCAGAGAACCGGTGGGCATGTCCCCTGCCGGACCAAAGGGCGAGGGCGGCTGCTGCGGATGGGGCGAGCTGCCAACTGGTCCGGGCACCCGGGAGCCCGGGCCGGCTCGATTCAGCTGCTGACCCGGGGGCAATGGTGGGAGCGGCTGCTGCGGCTGCTGCGGCGCCTGGTGCGGCAGAGGTAGAGACGTCAGCGACTGCTGGCCCTGCTGCCCAGGCTGCGACTGCGGCTGCGGCTGCGGCTGCGGCTGCGGCTGCGGCTGCGGCTGATGCTGATGGAGATGAGGATGGTGGGGATGGGCGTGGGGATGGTGCCCCGGTACGGCTGGCGCCGCGGCGGCTGCAGAGTAGCTATGCCCAGGGCTCGGACTGGGGCTCGGGCCTGGTCGACCTCCAACCGCCGGCCCCGGCGCGGACTGGGTCACACCCCCGTGGGAGGGATGAAGCTGCGGCGAGGGGGGCACCTTTCGTGCGCCGAGGGCCGCATTTTGATTGTAGGATCCCATGCCTGCCGAGGAGGACTGCTGGGAATGCGAGTGAGGATGCTGCTGGGAATGCTGCACCGGAGCCCCGGCAGCATGTGCCGAATGTCCCTGGCCTGGCTGGGTGAAGGCCTGGCCCTTGGATGCCAGAGACGCATGGTGCTGGTGAGCCTGCTGCGGCATTTGGCCCGGCATCGGGCGATGGGGCGGATGCGACTGCTGGTGGTGGGTCGATGGGCGCTGAGCATGCGTTGTGGCTGAGACGGCGGCCGAGGGAGCCCCACCGGCGGTCGATCCAGCAGCGCCTGCGCCGAAACCGGCGTACTCCTCCGGGCTACGCGCCTGGGCATGGGCTTGGGCATGGGCTTGGGCATGGGCTTGAGCCTGGGCATGGGCTTGTGCTTGGGCATGAGCATGTGCCTGTGCTTGGGCCTGAGCCTGAGCCTGAGCCTGAGCCTGAGCCTGAGCCTGAGCCTGAGCCTGCGCTTGGGCATGCGCTTGGGCATGAGCATGGGCATGGGCATGTGCCTGCGCTTGTGCCTGCGCTTGTGCCTGTGCTTGTGCCTGTGCTTGTGCCTGTGCTTGAGCTTGTGCCTGAGCTTGCGTTTGTGCCTGCATCGAGACCATGTCGGCGACGGTCGTGGCACCACGCAATTGCCCATTAGACTGCAGGTGCAGATTACTGTGCGAAGGTCCCTGAGCCGAGGGGTATTGCTGCATCGTGTGGACTACCGTCGAGGGGGATTGAGAAAAATGGTGGCCATGATGCACAGCCGGTGCTTGGGCCGAATGGTGCTGGGCCGCGGCGGCGGCCGCCGCCGCGGCGGCAGCGGCAGCCGCCGTGGCCGCCGCCGCCGAAGGAGGCCCGGCATAGGAATGATATTGAGCAGCAACCGCAGCCGCGGCCATGGCATCGGCAGCTGTGGCGGAGGTGGCACGGTGGTGTGCGGCCCCAGGAGGCGCATGGTGAGCGGGTGCATGCTGTAGCTGTGTGCCATGCATGTCGGCCGATGGAGCAGCTCCTTGGCCCGAGGAGGAAGGCATGTATGGACGCATGCTGGAGCCAGGCGCGCCGGGAGGGGGAAGGCCTCTGGCTGGTACCCCGGCCGGAGCCGATGGCGTCTGGATGGACATCCGGTGCATGTCCATCCCGGCGCCTGGCTGACCGGGCATCATATGCCCCGCATGGTGCCCACCATGGCCCATGACCTGCGCAGAGTGGTGGGGAAGGGGATGGTGCGATGCCTGCGGCCCGGAGGCGTGCTGCTGATAATGCATGGGTGATGGTGCTGCCGTGTGGTGATGGTGCGAGTGGTGCGGCTGTTGCGGCTGCGGCTGCTGCGGCTGCTGCGGCTGCTGCTGACCACCGGCATGCCGGAAGCCGGTGGCCATGTGGTCGGGCATGCTGCTGGCCCCGGCACCTGCCGGCCCCGGAACGGTCGGGTGAGGGGGCGGCGGTGGGTGATGCGACATGCTTTCCGGGTCCTGGGAGAAGGACAGGGGGAGGAGCAGGAAATCGAGGGCAGTGGCGGCGGCGGCGGCGGCGGCGGCGGCCGCAGGGGGAGTCCCTCGGAGGGGGTGGAGGAGGAGGACGAGGGTGCGCCGGCGGGCTGGTCTCACAGCAGCGGGTCAGTGGCGATGCCGCGATGGGGGAGATCGAGGCGAAAGGGTGGACCAACAACGAACCAGGAAGCGAGCAGGCGCGAAGCGAGGAGGTAGACGGATGAAGGAGGGAGAGGGGAGGGGAGAAACAGGAGAGCGAGGGGGAGGGGAGGAGGGAGCGTGGACCCGGCCGGTGGCGAGGGAGAGCAAAAAGCCGAAGGGAGGGGGGAAACAGGGGATGAGTGGTGGACGGGTGAAGGCACCCCCTGCGGCCGGGGAAGTCGGCGTATATCGTGGCCGAAATCTGTGCCGTCGCCATCCCGCGGACAATGCTGGGGGCCCAGGGCGGGCGGGGGGACGGGCGGGGGGGGGGGGAACGGGCGGGAACGCGCGCGCATGCGCGAACTTGATTCCTTGGTTGTGCGAGCGCAAGCACCACATACACGCACCCGCACCCGGGGCCGGGCGGTCTCAAGAAGGGTGTGGGGGAGAAAAAGGGGGCCCTTTGGCCCGGTTCGTCCCCCGGACCGCAAGACTAGGCCCCGGCTGGGGCGCGCATTGTGCCTCAGGTTCCCGGTCCCGCTCCCTTCGCGCCCCCCCACCCGCGCGCCCCGCCTCTCCCCCCGCGTCTCTGGCTCTGGGGCTCTGCAGCGCCGTCGTCTTCCATTTTTCGTGCACATTCGCGCGGGCGCGCGCGCGCGCTTTCCCATTTTCCAGCTGCCGTCTTCCTTTTGCCCGGAGCCGCCGGCCGGGGCGCAAACGGCCCCTGGCCCCGGGCATGTGAGGACTCAGGCCAGACATGAGGCGCGGGGGCGGGGGCGGAGGGACAAATATTATTGACTTCCACTATAAACACACCCATTAACACCGGCAGGCAGGCGCACGCACATCCACCCCAAGGCAATCGCCGTGACTGGGGCGGGCCCGATGCCTCTTGTGGCTCGAGAGCTCCCCGTGCGCAGGGGAGCGGGGCAGGGAGGCGGAGCACCGCGGCATGCGACCGCCCTCTCGCACGAGGAGGCCGTGTGGCTGTCCCGCGGAGAGCCGGGGGCAGCGGTAGATGCGCGTCCAGGAGCCGGCTGGGCCCGGTGAAATATGGCCCAGGTACGTCTTGCGAGCCTGGACGGCGGCGCTGAATTCCGGGTCCCGGTGTGTCATCGAGCCGAGGTCGACTTTCTAGCCAGCTACACCGCCGGGCCCGATACGGGCCGGGCCGGGCCGGGCCGGCAGCAGGGGTAGCTGCGGGAGGTGCACTCCGGTTGGGACGTGAAAATGCAATGAAAATAGAGCAAGGGGCAGTCTGCGAGCCGGGGGTCGAGGGGAGGAGGGGGGAATGGAGTGCGCGAACAGTGGGCGCAGCTCCACCAGCCTCCCTCCCCCCGGGGGAGAGGGGGGGGGGGGCCCGGGCGGGCCGCATGCATTCGCCGAGCTCAGGAGTCCCCCCGAGGTCGATGTGCCCCATTTTTGGAGGAGGTCGCCTGGCCGGACGGGCCGCACACGGCCGGCCCCGCCCCCCCCCGGGAGATGGGCGTGGCGGGTCCTCGGAGGGCGCGGGTCGGGGGCGGGGGGGCTCGAGCCTCGTCCCGCGGTGTGCGCATCACAGCGCGCGTGCGCGCGAGCGCGTCCCCACCCCATCGTGTGGGGGCGGATCACAAGAGTGGGGAGGGCAACCAGTGGGCGTGACACCTCCCGGCGCTCCCTGGCAGAGATCGTCCTGGCTTGGGGGCCGGGGGCCGGGGGCCGGGGAGGGGGGAACAGGAAGGCCAAACGGCGGGCAAGGCGAGGGCGGGACAGATGGCGAGTCAGGGGCACAATCGAGTGTGAAGCGTCCACCCCTGGGACCCCGGGAGCACTGGCCACGGGCGCGTGAGGTGCCCCGGGCCGGGGAGGCTCGTGGCCGGGCCCACCAGCCCCGGAGCCCTGACGGGGGCTGACTCGTCCGGCTCGCCGCCTCCCGCCGCTCCCCCGTCCTCCACCTTGCTTCCTGCATGCTACCCGGCTGGCGGTCGGGCTTTCTCCCTCCCGCTCCCTCGCTGTGTCTTAAGCAGGGAAAGGGTCACAACGAGGAGGGGGTGGGAGGGCCCCTGTGGGTGTGGGTGTGTGTGTGTGGCCCCCCCCCGCCTGACCCGCCCCGGGAGACCACTCTGTGATGACTGTCGTCCCCGCCCCCCGGCCCGGCCCGGCCCGGCCCGGCTGTTGGGTGTGGGCGGTCGGCGCGGGAGGAGGGGGAGATTCCCAACTCCCCCCGAAAAGGGAGGGGGGGGGGGGGCGGACCCCGGGCGGGAGCGTGGAAAGAGGGCCGGGCGGCCGCGTTCTCGCACGGCCCTCGCCCCCGCCGCCCCCGCCGCCCCCGCCAGCCCCTGTCCGGCCGTCGAACGGGCTGCCCGGCCGAGACCGAGCAAACCCGCTGGCGGCACCAGTGGAACAGGGCGCCCCGTCGCCTCATCGCTCCGGCGGTGTCTGGGCGCCCGGTCAACACCAATGGAAAATAGGCTCCCATGCCGGATTACTCGCCCAAGGGGGCCGGGGGCATCACACCCCCGGGGCAGGGAAACTGCCTCCAGCCCCCACGGGAGGGCGGAGAGGGGGGCGGGGGCAGGGGGGGCGGGCGTCCAGCCCAGCATCGCTTCCGGGAAACCGCCACCGGTGGCTAATCACCGACGCGCCCTCCTCGGACGGCCACCAACCGCCAGCACGGGCCTGAGAAACATGCCCGCCCCCCCCCCCCCCCCCCGCCGCCGGCGCCCTGCCCCCGGCTCGTGAACGCCCTGTGCATGCTCGCCGGCTACGCCCGGGAGGGAACGATGGGGTGGCCCGCTGCCGGCAGCGCGGCGGTCGAAATTGCTGGCACTCCCGTCCCACTGACAGCCGGACCACTCGAGCCATGAAAGCGCGCGCGCGCGAGGGGCTATCGAAGAAGCAGCCGGCCCACCCGCATGGGTCTCCCTGCCAGAGGAAGCGCGCGCCGACGCCCGAACCGCATGCAAGCACTTCCACACCCACGCGCACACCTACACAAGCCGGAGCCGAGGGCCCGCAATAGATACACGGCCAGTGGGGCGGCGCCCGCTTGCGCGGGCACACTAAGGAACCCCCCACCGATGAGGAAGACAATGTCCCAGGTGCCGGACCAAGTGACGGGAAACCGATCTGGCCATAGCGCGCGCACCATCCCGCCTCGATCTCCCCCCCCCCGCCCCCGTCCTCCCGCCAGCCCCCACCGAACCTGTGAGACAAGGACAGAAGGCAGGGGAGGGTGCGTGCGCCGGCCCGCAGGGGGCAACGACCGCGGGGACCGGACAAAGGGCGGGAGAGGGGGGGGGGGACGGCACGGGCCCGGGCCCGGGCGCGGGCACGGGCGCGGGCTCTCTCCCTGCAAGCAGGTCGGCCCTGCAAAAGCTGACACCACGGGGGAGGGCGAGGGTGCGGGAGAGCCCGCGACCCCGGGGTACATGCTGGTGTGTCGGTGCCCCCGCCCCTCCGGGCAACATGAGCTGAGGGGAAAACCTCCCCCGACCCCGCCTGCCAGCCAAGCCGCCAACAAGGGTACGACGGCCGGGGCAGGGGGGACGCTCCAGGGATGGCCCCGACCAGCCTCGGCTGGGGGTCAGAGGATGGTGGGCCTCTCTGGGAGGCCATACGCCGCCCTTCAAAGTGAGAAACCGCACAAGCCCGCATGTGCCTCCCTCGCCCCGCCTGGCCGGCCCCCCGGCCCGCGCCCGCGCCCGCGCCCGCGCCCTCGGCAAATGAGGCGCTGTGGCCCAGGGCGCTACGAGGCGAGGTGGCGGGGGGAAGGGGGGGGGGG